CCTCAGAAGCCTGGCTGGGGAGAGTTAGAACTACTTACTCCCAGTCAAAATCAGGGGCGTCGGGAGCGAGAAAAGGAAAGGCACCCCAAAAAAAAAAAAAAAAAAGGGAAAAAAAAAAAAAAATAAAGGGAAAAAAAGAAGAAAAAAAAAAAAAAAAAAAAAAAAAAAAAAAAAAAAAAAAAAAAAAAAAAAAAAAAAGGCAAGGCAAGGCACAGAAGAAAACAGAGAGGAGCAGAGGTCTGAATGAGAACCCTGTCTATGGGACTCTCTCGATACGGGATTTAGAACTTCTCCCGCCGGTCAAAATAAGGGGCGTCGGGAGCGAGAAAAGGAAAGGCACATACTGCATGGGTCCTGGAGACCATCTCACGCAGATGTGTACATATCATGCATCATCTTCACACGCAGCGATCAATAGTATCAACCATAGACAAAGGTAGAGAAGAAGGGAACCGAGTTTCACTGCTTATATTATCAGAATTATGAATACAAAGTGTTTCAAAGTTCCCCTGAGTCCAGCGCTCATCAGCGCAACACCAGTCTCTTATCAACTCATCAATATGACTTTCCGTGAAYCAGCGCTACTCCTGCAGATAACCTCCAAGTCATCAATGTGGTCACCACTCATCAGCACCACCTTTGCAGCCCACATTCAACTCAGGTAAGTATCTTCCATAGCCGAATCTTGAATGAACACTCTCAACCTCAATCCCTTCCTCCTACGATGCATACACACCCTTCATTCATGAGGATCTACTCTGAATACTACTCATAGCTACATAYTAACCCACTACTACTAATGCTAACTTGCTGGGCAGCTATGGCTGMATCACTTCYAGCATGCAATCCTCTTCCCTCACTCAGCGCATCTGCTTCCTCCAGCGCTGCTCCTACTGACTTAACGCACAAGTGCTCCAACACTTCCACGCTGATACAGYCAGTGGAGATCTGGCGAGRAATGAGGCTGGCTGCCTCCTTTATACTCCTCGYTGGGTCTGCATTGGCTCAATTCARCCTCTTTCCTTGTCCCAGACCCTGCATTGCATGTGTCCCAGTAGAGTCCCAATGAAATTCAACTGCTGCTGAGGCCTCCCGGCCTGAATTTGGAYTTGAAAGTCTGGATMTGGACTGAYCCCTGGACTTAGACCAGAACTGGGACTGTGCCTATTGACTTTACTTTCGGACAGGCACAACTCTCAACGAACAGACATTTACTGCTTGAACAGACACTTTATTTTGCACCAACAGGTACAGACACACCCTTACCCGAACAGACATGGCATACACATCTCCTGGTGAACAGGTAAGTCTTTTGACAATGCCCTTTGCCTTAGCTTTAGATATGCCTGTTGATAGAGAACTTGACCTTTGACCTGCTTTCACGTTTCTGAGCTCTGGCAAGATACCTTTTCACAATGCTTTACTTTTTCAAGGCCCGTGCTGCTTTATTTTTACAAGGCCCGAGGCCTATATCGGGTAAAGGCCCTTTTACTCTCGCCGGCCTAAATTCGAAGTCCTCTGAGAATCATTTACCTATCAAGGATATGAATTCCTCTCTTTGCATTTTCGTATGCAGATACAATATGAGGTGCAGATTCTAACAGTTCTTCTTTTGTGAACCAGCGATCTTCACAAGGACCCTTGTATGCAGATCTCACCTTATACTGTCGTTGTGGTCTGCCCCTACGTCCAGTGTGGTAAGTCCTTTCTGCAACAATCTTATCCACATCATACTTCCCATCCATACTTGGAGGTATCGCTGGTCGGCGACTTGGGAAGAGCTCATTTGTTACACAAGGTAAGAGCTTGGACGCATGGAACACTGGATATGTACGTAGATGAGGAGGAATTTCAATGACATATGAAGGACCATCCACATCTCCAATTACGTCTAGAATCTGCCAAGGTCCTCTGTAGGTGGGTAGAAGCTTCTGAGAGATGTTCTCTTCAAGAGCAAACTCTTTAGACTTTACCCAAACCAAATCTCCTACAGCAAATTGAGATGGGTGCCTATGTTTATTTGCCTGTTCAATCATTTGATGTTGTGCTTTAAGTATATTTTCTTTTACCTTCCCAATGTCTTTCTGATATTGGACTGCAAATTCACTAGTCCCTATAAGAAGCTTATGTACTTGATCCGGGTTCAACCAATCAATGGGTCTGCGTGGACGCCATCCCAGATGTAACTCCATAAGAGTCTTATATGTAGATAGATGTACAGAGTTATTATAGGCACTGGCAACTTTAGGCAGATGTTCATCCCAATCAATCTGATCAGGACGGATGTACATGCGTAAAGTTTGCTGCAAAATCTTGTTCATCTGCTCAGTCTGGCCATTAGTCTCAGGATATCTGCCTGATGACATAGTCAACTTAGAGCCATAAACATTCATCAGTTGCTGCCATTGTTCACTCGTGAACCTGGTATCTCTATCACTCACAATAGTTAAGGGATGTCCAAAGTCTTTTACCCTATGGTTAAAAAATTCCCAAATTACCAATTCAGTCTTTGCTTCCGCAGGTAAAGCTACAAAAACAGCATACTTAGTGAATCTATCCACTATGACCATTACTTGCGTTTTCCCATTCCTGCTTTTGACCTTAGTATCTATGAAATCTATAGAAACAGAGTCTCTAGGGCCGGTAGGGATAGGTAAGGGCTTTAAGTAGCCCGAGGGGCGATTGCGTAGTGTTTTTGTTTCGTTGGCACACTTGGCAACCCTGCACATACGCGATACAGTYTGCTTTCATTCGAGGTCAGGTATAGGAACACAACAAAGTTCCGTAGGTCTTCTTCCATCCAAAATGACCTTCTGTATCATGGCATTCCCCCAAAATCATACTTTTGATTTCTTCATTATTGGGTATACACAGCCTATCATTTACATCAGTTCGTTCAAACAATAGACCCTGAGTTACTTTATGATCGTGAAACTCTGCTGGTTTTTCTTGCACTAGCTTAATCATGGGTCCATATATAGGATCAGAGGAATACGCATTCCTAATCTTCTCCTGTAGGTCAGTACCCACATCTAAATAAGTCACAATAGCACCAAAAAAGTCTGATCTACGACTTAGTGCATCTGCAACAACATTATATTTACCCTTTAATGGCTTCAACTCAAAATCAAACATATCAATTTCTGCAGCCCACCTTGTCAACTTAGGTGTCATTCGCGCTTGTGTTTCGAGATAGCGAAGCGTTTCATGGTCGAAGTATACTTTAAAATGTCTCCGTAGAAGGTAGTGTCGCCAATGATTGAGAGCCTCACGCAAAGCATACAACTCTCGTTCATACGTTGAAGCGGCCACCTTCTCGTTAGGTAAGCGGCAAGACATAAACTCTAAAGGTCTGTACCCATGCCCATCCTCTTGCTGGAGTACATACCATATTGACTAGCGTCGGTCGTAACTACAAAAGGTAATGAAGGGTCCGCCACTTTCAAAACCGGATAATTGATCAAACACCTCTTCARAYGCTTGAAAGACATAGTGCAGTCTGAATCCCACTTCCAAATTACTTCTTTCTTAAGCAATCGACGAAGGGGAGCAGCTATTATCGTAAAGTGTCTTACGAACTTTCGATAGTAGTTGGCTAACCCAAGGAACGACCGCAACTCAGTCAAGGTGCGGSGKKTCGGCCAATCTCTGATTGCTGCTATCTTGGCATCTTCCGGTTTGAGCCCATCTCCATCAATCACATATCCTAGATATAGCACTTGACGCTTAGCCCATTCACACTTCTTTGGGTTTATCTTGAGTTTTGCTTTCCTCAATTTACTTAGCACAAGTCGAAGGTGCTCRACGTGCTCTTTTTCATTTTTACTGAAAATCAAAATGTCATCTAAATAAATCACAACAAATTTATCGAGCCACTCACGAAACAGTTCATTCATTGTTCTTTGGAAAATGGCAGGGGCATTTGTGAGACCAAAGGGCAAAACTACGAACTCATAATGCCCATACCTTGTCCTAAAGGCAGTCTTATGTTGGTCTTCCGGCTCAACTTCAATCTRATGGTAGCCGGATTTTAGATYAATCTTTGAGRACACTTTGCTTCCCTGCACGCGATCCAGCAAATCGTCTATTCGTGGTAACGGTTCAGCATTTTTTACTGTTATATCATTTAACCTCCTATAATCTATACACATGCGAACGCCGCCGTCCTTTTTAGGCACAAAAAGCACAGGCGCACCATAGGGTGAAGAGCTAGGTCTTATCCAACAATTTTTCAACAACTCACCGAGTTGGGTTCGCAGTTCATCCAATTCCTGGGGAGACATACGATAGATAGGCCCTTCACGGGCGCGCTCCCTGGAATGATATCAATGCGGTGGCGGATTGGTCTTTCCACCATACCGCTTGGGGCTTCAGCCACATCTGCAAACTCTTTCAGGATCTTCTCAATCTCTTGGGACCTGACTTTTTCCTTTGTTTCTCCTTCCTTTACTGGGCGCACATATGCAACAAAGACTTGGTCATACAAGTTATGTTTCTTAACATGGCGAGCGAACGCTGGGGCACTTATACAACAGTGAGCTAGGCTGCTTTCCTTTCCAGATTCATGATAGAGGCGGATTTTCTTCBTACCTCCTTGTGGACTTGGAAGCCAACATTCATGTTCCCTTAACTTTAGATCCGCATGTGCAGCCTCACCCCAATCCATTCCTAGCAACACATCAAAGGGCAAGTTATCCTCCACCAAGAAGGTCAGAGAGTGGAGAACGCGTTCCACCTTTCCTTCTGCCTCTAGCCGAAAGTATACTTGTACTCCCTCAATGTATCGATCCATGACAGTTTCACTACTATTCGCCAACTTACTTACAATGGGCTCATCTAACTTCTTAACCTTAAGCCCAAGACACAGTTTTTGCAAACCTCATTTACTAATATAACTGCGTGTAGACCCACTGTCTATCATGCCCCCTACTCTTATCCGATTTATCTCTAGATCTGCAATTATTAGCTGTCCTTTCTTTTTACGCATTTCAGTCCAGGCCTGGCGACGAGCGGCCAACTCATCACCCACGCCAGCGAGGGATCCATCTAGAGAGATGCATACCTTTGCCACCTCTGGACAGTGCACTAGATGGGGACTTTCTTCCTCTTCAGTTTCTGCCATTGGGGCCTTCGAGTGGGAGGATTCTGATTTTTCAACACTCGAAGCCCCTGTAGAGGCAACTGGCACCTCTACTGGCTGTTCCCTTTTGCCCCCCTATAGTCAGGGCAATAGGGGACAATGTGGTCGGGGTCCCCACATTTGAGGCATTGGTCTGCCTTCTTTCTTTCGGTCCATACTTTTTCTATTATGCCAAGCTCCTTCCAAGGCTCCCCTTCGGGTAGGCCTGGATGAGGTGGGTACGGTTTATCCCACTTGTTGTACCATGAGCCTCTTCCTCTACCCCAGGTGGAGTAAGAACCACGACCACCGTATGAGGGATCATTTCCCCTTCCTCCCACGTAGTGGCTACCTTCGCCACCACCCCTCTGGGTGCCGAATCCTCTTCCACCACGACCGCGACCTCTTCCTCGGCCACGCCCTCTTCCTTGACGCCCTCCCCCGCGGTTTGCAATAGCCGCGTAACTCCCCTCCTGAGCTACCGGTCTGTTGGGTTCATCGACACCATAGTCAACCTGATCCCAGGAGATGGTCTCGGCGCCTCCTTCTTCAAAGGTTAGAAGGAGACTATCTTTCCCAGGTATAGACCCTGAGATAGTGCGGTTTTGCCATCTTTTTCCCACTTGCAGATCCTTCCAGAAGTGGCAATAATTCGCCTCGGCGAGGAAGCCGGCATGATCTATGGCGATCTTGCCGAACTTCTCATAGGTCATCCCATCTTCCTTGGTTCGGGGATAGAGCTGTGTTCTTAAGGGATCCGGAAGTGCTCTTGCAAAGCTATTCAAAATTTGGGCTGGCGTTAATCCATGATCAGGACATTGCAACAATTCATCCATTGTGACCTTTAATGCAGAAGTGCTTTTCCATTTCCTGTCAGGAAGGCTGAGAATTAACATTTCTGTACGTCTTGCTAGATTTTTGTCTTCGAATCTTTCTCTTATTAACTTAAGGAAGTCGTCGATTCGCGTTTGCTGCAAATACTCTACCATAGAGCTGCATCCCGCTTCCTTTTGCAGCGAGATGGCAAAGCTCATGGCGTCGCCTCCCATGCATGATGTCGCCATCAATACTCTGTCCCAATATGGGATACGCTGTCCGTACACGTAGGTTTCAATTGCGGCTGCCCAATGTAAGACACTCTCTTCCTTTTTCCCATTATAGGTCCAGGGCAGTTTAAGCTTAATCTTGCTAACCTGCCCGGATTCCTGAGGAAGTTTTTCTTTAGGATCCCCAATCTTCTTCTTCCCCTTCCTGTCACCATCGCCATCGTCGTCACCATCTCCCCCATCGCCTCCAGCTCCCTTCACAATCCTCTCTACGACTTTCGGAGTGAACGTTTTAGTGACATGATCATCAAAAACCTGGATATATGTCTGAACATGATAGTCCACGTCCTTAGCAGACTTTTATAAAAAGTTGTTCCAAATAGTCTCGAACTCAACCCGATGGGTCTCAACTCTTTGCAGCGTCTGGCGCATTAAGGCCATGTTCTGTCTTGTGTTGAGCACGGCGTCCCTTAGCAATGCCAGTTGTTCTTCAGTCGCAGAGGGTTTATCTTTTTGCTCCTCTAGAGCTTTCTGTAATTTCTCCCCTTCTGCCTGCAGCCGTTTCTTTTCATTAATTTCTTGTCTTCTGGTGGCTAGCAGTTTACTGTTCAACTCTGCCCTTTTTTCTTCCATCATCAGGTTCCGCTCAACGGTGTCATTTACCGTAGCTAACTTAGCAAGGAACAGATCACGTTCTTCTTCAGACTCCTTTAAGATTTCACTGGAGTAATAATATTGATCAGCCCAGTTCAAAGGTTCAACGGGGAGTCGGTTGGCTGTGCTACTTTCTGGAATATTAACGTGACGACGTCTTTGCAAGGTTT